ATTGGTTGCAGCTCAGTGCCAAACCATAAACTGCTGGCTTCAGGAAATCTGAAAAGACATTTGGACTTTTAGTACTTTCCTGTCCCTGGTTCATTGACCGTTGGCAGGGGGAGGTGTTCTCTATCCGTTCCAAGTATTGTGGTTTTTCTTGGAACAGGGCCCAGGGCTGGGTCAGTCCTATGGAGGTTTTATCCAAGATGGAGTCACTCAGGTCTCTCAACTGCAGTTCCCAACATCCACATGGTCACTAATGAAAGTCAGTAACTCCAGTTCCAGGGACTGTGATGCCCTCTTCTGGCCTGCAAGGGTACACACATGGTACACTTACATGCAGGCAAAACACACACATAATTCTTTAATTTTTTTAAAAAATGGAGAACTCAAAGCCAGGCATGGTGAAGCACACTTTTAATCCCAGTACTTTGTGAGTTCAAGGCCAGCCTGGTCTACGTAGTGACTTCCAGGTCAGCTGGGGCTACAGGGAGACCCTGTCTCAAAAAGACCAAAAAAAAAAAAAAAAAAAAAAAAAAAAAAAAAGAGAAAGCAGAAAGGCAAAGAAACCTGGTGTGTCGGTATGGTAAAGTTATCTGATACCCTTTCTTTGACTTTTTTTTTAAGAGAGGATCTCATGAACCCAGGCTGACCTCCAATACTTAAGTAATATAGCCTTTAACTCTTGATGCTCCTGCCTCTATCCCCCCCAGTACAGAGTGCTAGAATTACAAATGTACCACCAGCATACCTGGCCTTTCCTCAGTTTTCAAAATCCTCTTCTACATACTTGGTATATAGGAACTTTCTCTTGCTCAAGGGACTCTCCAGAAGCATCACAGTCTATGTCTAAAGAATCACACGAGGGGCTGGAGGGGTTAGGAGCACTGGCTGCTCTTCCAGAGGACCAAGGTTTAGTTCCCAGCACCCAGGTGGTGGCTAACTCCAGTTCCAATGGATTCAACACCCACTTCTGGCCTCCATGGGTACTACATATATGTGATGCACATGCATGGAAGCAAAACACTCATATACCTGAAAAAAAAATTTTTAAAGGACTCACATGAAGGGCTGGGCTATAGCTCAGTGGTACAGTGCTTGCCTAGCAGGCACAAGGCCCTGGCTTTAATCCCCAGCACCAAATAAATAATCAAACATCAAAAGAACTTGTATTCTCTCCATATGAATAATGGAGATACTATGCATCTCCTCCCCAAAATACATATCCTTTTAAAAGGAATCAATCTCTCTAGCAGATAGGTGTTGCAGTAAGATTTTTTTTTAGCACTGTTTGGACACCATGTTTTCCCTAGCCCTCAGAGGTTGCCTCTCTAGAGGGGACCAACCATGCCACATATTCTATCTAGTATCTTCCCTAAGCTACTGAATTCCCAATACGTAACAGCCCCAAGGTAAGGTGAACAATAGGACTAGCTTCCTAGATTACTGCTTTATCTAGGACCTTCACTGATTTGCTAAACTCAGAGACCTCTCCTTCAAAGGCTGTGGGTTGCCATGAATGTCCTATCCCAGTTTAGCTCAATGTGGCTGGCTAGTATCATCAAAGAACCCAATTACCCGAAATCTCTCAATGTATCTCTACAAAATAAGAAAAGAATCTTCACCATTTAAAAGTTTTCTATTTCTGTAATTTCTACTCTACATTACTTCCATGTACTTTCTTTGGGTTTAGCTTATAGTTCACTTACACTCACAACGTGACAGTTAATTTTGGTTGTCAACCTGATTGGATCTGGAATCAACTAAATCACAAGCCACTGGCACTCCAGGAAGGGACTTATCAGACTATTTGAAGTGAGAAAGCACAACGTAAATGTGGAAGGCATCTTCCAGTGGCAGCCCAGATAAAATGGAGACAAAAGAAGGAAACTTGGCTGCTTGCTTGCCAGTTCATCTATCCTGTTGCTACCCCTGCTGCAGTCTTTTGTTGATACCAGAATCAGCTTCTTCAGAAACCAATGTAGACTGAAGGTCAGCAGCTCTCCAATAGTCCTCCAGACCTACAATGTCAGATTGGGGCTGCTGAGACATCCAGCCTCATGAACAAGGCAAATACCAGATTACAAGGTTCTCTGGTATGAGTCAGTGACTGCTGGACTACCCAGGCTGTATTGGGTATACCTATCTAATAAATTCTCTTTTAATATATACTCAATTCTATCTGTTCTGTTTCTCTAGCAAACCCTAAATCACAGAATTGTCTGCCTTCTTATATACTTTAGCTGTATCTTCAAATTGTTGGAGTTTGCTTGTTTTCATGTTTTGAGACAGGGGTTCACATGGCCCAGTAACTGAAAATGATCTTACATTCCTAATCCTCCTGCCTCCACCTCCCAAGTATTTCAATTACAGACATGAGCCACCACAAAGCCACCATGGCTTTTTTTTTTTTTTTTTTGTCTTTTTGAGACAGGGTCTCCCTGTAGCTCCAGCTGTCCTGGAACTCACTATATAGACCAGGCTGACCTTGAACTCACAGAGATCCTCCTGCCTCTGTCTCCCGAGTGCTGGAATTAAAGGTGTGCGCCACCACGCCTGGCTCCACCATGGCTTTTATACTAGAAGTTGATACACTGTTTATCATTCGAGTCTAAATATTTTGTACTGCTCATCATTTTCTTAATTAGTTCATGAATTGGGTGGATTTATTTCGCTTCTAAAAATAAGAATTTTTTTCTGATCTATTTTTACTATTTATTTCTAAAATAATGACTGGAAAACATGACTGCAGTATCATGGACCAGCAACTTCATTCTTGAAAGATTAGATTATTAGGGCTGGATCGATGGCTCCATAGTTAAGAGCACTGGCTGCTCTTACAGAGGACCTAGGTTTAGTTCCCAGCATACATACAGCAGCTCACTGGCATCCATAATTCCAATTCCAGGGGATCTGACACCTTCTTCTGGCCTCCACAGGTATTGCACACAGGTACACCGACACACATACAAAATGCTCACACACTTTAAAAAACAAAGTAAGACTACCATTATTTCATGCTTTACTGGCCAGAAGATTTGCTTTTATAGCATGTGATGGCTACTTTTGTCAACTTGACTGGATTAAGAAATACCTAGAAATTTAGTGAAGCACACCTCTGGGTGTGCTTAAGGACATTTCCAGAAAAAATAAGATCACACACTCTGCCATAATCCAAACAGATCCCTTGATGGATTCAACACGTGATGATCTGAAGCTCTGATGCCTTTACTGGGAGGTGCTGAAAGGAGGTTGGGCCTAGTGGAGGAAATGAGTCACCAAGTATGCCATTGGAGGCAGTATCCTGACCTGGCTGCTTCCTGGGTCTCACTTTCTCTGCTTATAGAAGTGCAGGCCTCTGCAGCACACTCCCACTCCACAACGTCCTGGTGACAAGCAATTACCAATTATGCCCTCTAAAACTGTGAGTCAAAAGAAACTCTTCCTCCTTTAAACTCAGGTATTCTGGTCACAACACGAAACTAAGAGTAGTACCAAGGCAGCCAAAGACATTTTGTAAATAAAGGAGGCGGCTGGATTCTTAAGAAAAAATTGAAGTCTAGGCAGATTCAGCTGTGAGCCACAATCCACGAGCTCTTAGGTCTGCATGGCCTCTCAATACTTTGGTAATTGTTAAAACTCGGTGCGGAGTACGTGACATTCTTTAAGGTTCAGATCCATTTGCTGTTATTTTAGCACAGTGCATAAGAGATCAGGTTTGGGGATTCAGACACACCTTAGAGGCCAACTTTGCCACACTTGCCATTGAGTGACTTGAGGCAAACTACTTAATGTCTCTAATCCTCAGGTTCCTCATTTACAAGGTGGAGAAAGCAATCATCTATTTCACCAAGTGGGCATAAAGAATGTTCTGATGAGACAATCCATATAAAGAATTTAATAACGCCAGACGTGGTGGTTAGTGCCTTTAATCTCTCAGCCCTTTGAAGGCAGAGGCAGGCGTTTCTCTGAGACCGAGGCCAGCCTGGTCCACTTAGTGACTTCCAGGCAGAGTGGGACTATGTACACCCTATCAAAAAAACAATTTAGTAGCTTGACATGGAATTTTTTAATCATAAGCAGTGGCAGCAGTGGCCTGTCACTGAATTACTACTTGGTGAGGCATATACTAGTATATTCATTTTACAAAAAACAGGGGAGGGGCAGTTATTTCAAAAACCATGCCCAGAGTCTTGCAGCAGTGACAAAATACCCAGATCGTCTATTTTCAAACTCAAAGCTTCTCGTATTCTAGATGATTAATCCAGTCACAATAATATGTAATGAATTCAGTGTGCCATTCCTTCCTAAGCGAGGCTGCATTTTAAGTCACCCAGAGGAAAAAGGTGGTGAAATCCACTAGAACAGTCTTCACCGTACTAGTTTAGTCATTAATCCTTAGGGGAAGAGTCAAGTTCTGGCTCAAACGTGCTCACGGACTCCTGGAAGTACGGTGTTGAGATTTTTTTTTTGCTAGGTTTGGTGGAAAAGCTGTCATCCAACCGAGCACCCCGCAAGGATGACCTTGCTGCTGTGATGCTGTGACCCCGCATCCCAGGACTGTGCTGCCCTTTGAGACTCTCCAGCTCCATGTGCCTGAAGCGCCTGGCGCCTAAAAATACCACCTTTACATAAACCACACTGGATGTGTTCTCGCATTAAGAAAACGGGCGGCAGCATCCCTTTGAGCCACATCAATCACACGACGACACGAAGACCACCGAGTTTCCATCACCTCTCCCCACCCAGGCGCAGGTCCACCCGAGTGTGCTGGACGCAGAGGCATACACCCCAAAACTCTCTAGTTTTCCGAGCCCAGACGTTTCTGGCCCTATCCTGTGACAATCACAAGGTTTCTCCCAGCCCCGTCGGTGACGGAGAACTCGTGACTCGCAGCGAGCACCCTGCGGCGGCGACAGCGGAGGCGGAGCCGCCGGCCCTACAGCTAGGGCGCCCCCGACGGCAGGCGCGTGCGCAGTCCGCCGCCCAGGGACCTCCTTCCCGCCGCTCACACTCGGAAGCGGGCCGCCAAATCCGTCCTTGCGCAGACGCCGCCGCCGAGGCGCTCGCCCAGCCCAAGGCGCGCCTGCGCACGTCCCCACGCACGCTCCGGCGTACGGCGGCGGCCAGGGGTCGCGAGCCGGTGGAGGACCCGAGCGCGCGGAGCAGCCCGGGGAGTCGGCGCTTCTTTCCCTCCCTCCCCCACTCCCCTCCCCGCTCCCTCCCCCTTTCCCCAAGAATGTTCCGCTACGAGGTGAGTGGCCGCGGCCGGAAGTGGCCCCTCCCTCGCCCGCGCGCCCCTCTTCCTCTGCGGGTCCCGTGAGCTGGGGAGGGGGTAGGGCGCGGGTTGCGTCGGCCTGGCTCTGGGCTCCGCGGAGCGGCCTCCAGCGATGGCTCGGAGTGTGCCTCGGGGGCGGGGCTGGCCGCGGGCTGGAGTTGTGGGGGCGTGGAGGGCCCGCTAAGTGCGGTACGGCGACCCCACGCAGGCCGTGTGGAGGCGGCGGGACTTCGACCCCGTGGCCCTTCTTGACCACCCCCCCCCTCACCCCCGGGCCCCCAGGATGAGTTCCTGCCCTGCACCGGCATCCCGGTCGCACACCCCCACTCGCACCCACAGCCGTCAGGTGGAGGGGCAGGTCTAGCCCTGAACTGCGGCTGCAGTCCGCCCGTAAGCGGGCTCCGGGATGGGAGGGGGCGTGTCCTGTAGAAGTTTCCTTCCAGGCTTGGGAAGGGAGATGAGTTTGGTGACTTCCGGAGAAAGTAGTAGATTGCTGTCACCAGCCCCTGTGCGCGACCTTGAGTGACTACTAATTCCTGGGCTGCAAAAGGTTCTGGGTTTGTAGTAGGTAAAGGACTGATCTAGGGGAATCCCTGTAGAGTCATTTTGATCTTTCCATTTGGTTAGGTAGATCTTTGTGGTTGCCAAGAGCGTGCTTGCTAGACGTTGCTTCTGTGTGGAGGCAGCTGCCTGGCTTTGTGGAAGTTAGAGACTGTCGCATGGGTAGCGAGGCCCTTAGCTACCCGGCAAAACTTACCACAAACCGTCTCACAAATAGAGTGTGGGGTTCTGATTCTGAATCTTTTAAAGACAGTGGGATGCTTGATTTTAGATGTGCAACCAAGCTCACTGTGTGTAAACATGGAGACGTGAGATACAGTGAGCAGAATTTGCAAGAAGCAAAGAAAACTTTGTTAATAAGTTCAGACTGAAACAGGTGGGGGAAATGTTCGAAAGAGAATGCAGGGAGCATGTCTCCTGGCCTTTAATCCCTGGGGGATGAGGCAGGAGGATCCTGAGGTCTAAGCCAACCTCAAACAAAATAAAGCCTAACATGTCTAAAATGTTAACTGTGACTCTAGCTTTGTTCAGCGATCTACAACCTTCGCCTTGTTTAATCTTCACAAGTTTCTTTGAATTAAGTTGTATTTGGCCATAAATTCCAGTTTAAAAACTGAAGTTTAGTTCTAGCACAGAGCCTGAGACACAATAGGCCCTCAAAAGGTACTGTTGAGTTAATTTTTTTTTAATTTGTGCCTGTAGTCAGACTACTTGTAAAAGTACAGCCAGACCCTCTTGTTGCTTTTCTAATGCTCACCGTAATTGCAGTCAGAAACTTAGATTTCTGTTTTATCACCAGAGATTAGACCCTAACGAAGAGGATGGAAAGTAAAGAGAAAGTTTTAAAAGGGAATGATAAAAGGTTACGGATGTAGTGAGGAAAATGTAATTGTGTTGAAGAAAAGTTATATAAAACTCAAGATAATAAAAAAAGTATTCATTTTTAGTTAGCATCATTTCAGCCAGTGCTTAATTTCTTGGGCAGTGCCCGAGGAATTGGTATTATTAGATCTTTGACAAAACAGGAAAGTGGAATGCTGGCCTGGGGTGAAATCAAGAATAGAAAATAAGCTAGGCATGGTGGCCCATGGCTTTAAGCCCAGCAATTGGGAGGCAGAGGCAGGCCTGGTCTTCATAGGGCCTTGCAGGACATCTGGAGCTACAGGGAGACCCTGTCTCAAAAAGAAAAAAGTCACAGTGAAACTGTGCATGCATGGACATTTGGGGGTTTATTTACAGTGAATATATGAATGTCATGAAAAGCTAATCCTCTTCCTCTTTCTGTAGTCTTTGGAGGATTGTCCTCTAGATGAAGATGAAGATGCATTTCAGGGTCTGGGAGAAGAAGATGAGGAGATTGATCAATTCAATGATGATACATTTGGGTCAGGTGCAGTTGGTAAGTGGCGGCTTTCTCTTAAGGTGCCTTGATTTGTTGATCAGATCAAGTGCTTTGGTCTTAATAGGAACAGCCTACTAATTTTGCAAGATAGCCTTTTTTATGTTAATTTTTTTAATTATTTAATAACCACATGATTAGAAGAAGCATTTCATTACAGCTTTAACATATTTAATAAAATTTCTAGAGCAAAGATACAGCTTTCAAAAGCGGCTGTAAATTTTTAGGTTCACAGTTGAATTAATACAGTTACACAGTATTGAACTCAGTATAAATCCTGTGAGACATAAAATTGAATGAGGTTTTAACCTTTAAAAGATCTCCATTTCATTTTAAAAAATACTGTTTCCTACAGACTCATTTTTAATGCTACTAATGCTTAGATGTTTGCATGTGCGTCTCTAATCTCTATGTATCTGATTATTACTAGTCACAGTTGGTTACACTTGGATCCTTGGCACCTGAGTATGGATATAAAGTCATCCGGTAGATTTCAATGGTAATGTTTATCACCTCTACTAATTAACATGAAGTAAATTTTTATGCTTCTTCCTCAAATATAATTCATTTTTTATTTGTTGGGCTTTTTTGTGTGTGTATATCATACAGAACATCCCAAACAATCTTATTCATCTGTATACCCACTTCCCAAATGGCACCCTCCCATAGTCTCCCTCCACCCCACTGAAGCCTATATACGCTGTCATCCCTGTAACTGTCCACTGTGTTGTCGGCACCCCCAGCTGTTCCCCAGTGTTTGTCCATCCACTGAATCTAGTCAGCCTATCTAGAGTTCCTTGTTTTAGGAAGATCAGCTGTTCCTCAGCAAGATAGCCTTTTTTAAAATTTGTATTCTGTATGAGTGCCAGTGTGGGAAATTCAGGTGATTCCCATATCTTCACTTCCCACCTCAAAACAGGAGTGTTGGGATTATAGATGTGGGCCTCTGTATCCAGCTTTTTATGTGTATTTCTGGGATTGAACTCAGGTCATTAGGTTTAATAGTCAAGTGCTTTTGTCCACTCAGCTAGGTCATCTTCCCCGACCTAGTCCTACTTCCTTCCCTCCCTCCCTCCCTCCTGTTTCCCTCCCTCTCTTCCATTTCCTTCCCTCCCTCCCTTTCCCTTCCTTTTTTCTCCTCCCTTCCTTCCATCTGCTCTGCTGGGCCATGTTCCTGAACCAGTCTTCTTTCCTTTTTTTCCTTTGTAGGCTATCACTGTGTAGCCCTGGTTGGCCTCAAAAATTTAGAGATCTGCCTGCCTCTCCCTCCCAAGTGCTGGGAGGGATCAAATAATAGTACAACCTTCACCTGGTCTTTTGTTTTTGTTTTTGTTTTTTGGTGACAGGGTTTTCCTGTAGCCCTAGCTGGGGTAGAACTCACTATGTAGACCAGGTTGGCTTTGAACTCAGAGATCCGCCTGCCTCTTCCGCCTGATTACTGGGATTAAAGGTGTGCACCAACACACCTGGTTCTCACTTGGCCTTAGTGGTCCTTTTGTTCTGCTCACCTGGGCCTCTTTTTGCCTCACCTGTAAAACCAGGCATTCTGGGACCATGGTGGCATACACCTTTAATCCTAGCTCTGGGAAAGACAGAGCCAGGTAGATCTCTGAGTTCTAAGCTAGCCTGGTCTGCATAGTGAGTTCCATGCCAGCTGGGACTACAGGGAGACCCTGTCTCAGAAAGACCAAAAACCCCCACAAAAAACAGGTATTCATGGGGGATGGAGCGATGGCTCAGCATTTAAGAGCACTGGCTGGTCTTAGAGACCCAGGTTCAATTCCCAGCACCCACATGGCAGCTGACAGCTATCAATAGCTCCAGTTCCAAGGGCTCTAATGCCTTCTTCTGACCCCCAAGAGCATTGTACGACCAAGTACACTTACATGCAGGCAGTGCATTCATACACATAAAGTAAAAGTAATAAATTTTTTTTTTAAAAAACCGGTATTGACAATGTCCTCTCCCAACTATAGGAACTCTAGGCTCTAGGTTGTCAATATAAGGAGCTTAGAGAAGTCGCCATTTAAATGAAGTTAAAAAATACTTCTGATCAGCCGGACATGGTGGTGCACACCTTTAATCCCAGCACTTGGGAGGCAGAGGCAGGCAGATCCCTGCAAGTTCAAGGCCCACTTGATCTACATAGTGAGTTCCAGGACAGGTGGGGCTACAGGGAGACCCTGTCTCAACAAGACCAAAAAAATAAATAAAAATACTCCTAATCAAAGGAGTATTTGTTTATAAAACATGCAAGAAGGGGCTGGAAAGGTGGCTCAATGGCTTAGATCACTGGCTGCTCTTTCAGAGGACCTGGTTCCATTCCCAGCACCCACATGGTGGCTGACAACTGTCTGTAAGTCCAGTTCCAGGGGACCCAATACCCTCTTCTGGCCTCCATGGACATTTGCACAGGTGCACTTGGTGCATGCAGGCAAAACACTCATCCACATAAAAAAAAAGAAATTTAAAAGGTAAAACATGCCAAAAAAAAAAACTAATGGACTAGTAGAAAATTCAGATTCTAGTCTGTAGGACATGTTTTAAAAATCAGTCTGTCACAGCTATGTGTGGTGGCACAGCCTGTAATCTGGTACTTGTGAGGCAGAGGTAGGAAGGTCTCAAATCTGAGGGTAGCCTGAGCCACAAAGAAAGATCTTGTCTCAAAAAGGGGGAAAGAATCCAGTCCATCCCAAGTATATTGCATAACAATTACCATTGTCTGTATATCTTCTATGTAGTGACAAAGCTTTTTACCTAATTCACTTTTTTTTTTTTGGTCTTTTTGAGACAGGGTCTTCCTGCAGCCCCAGCTGGTCTGCAACTCACTATGTAGACCAGGCTGGCCTCGGTATTACAGAGGACTGCTGGAGTGCTGGAATCAAGGGCATGCACTTCCATGCCTGACTAATGTGAACAGGCTTTTTATACCAAGAATTTTGGTGATAGGAAATTTTCATAAGTTAGTAAAAAGCACGTAGAACAAGTTAAGAGACTAAAGTGGACTAGTAAGGTAAATTTTTTAAACTTAAAAATGTTAAGTTCGTAAATGAATATCTAAAATCATTGCAGATATTTTTTCCTTCCACTGTGGTACTGGGATTTAATAATAGTGATGTTTAGGCTGGGGTATGTGTGATTTCTTTGGAATTGCCCCACTTGAGTCTGTACAACCCATGTTCCAAGTTAAATAGGAAGGTGAAGAAATTGAGCAGTGGTAGGTGATCCCAGGATGTTTGGTATCAAAAACAGAGTCTTGCAGTATAGTGGATACTAGTTTTCCAGTAATATAAACACCAGATTTTTTTAAAGCTCACAGAGTTGAATGAACTGGAAAAAATGAAAAGGTTTCCTGTTGTTGACCAGCTACAAAATCAGTTAAGAACAAAAACTTTGTCATGTTTAAGAGCAACCAGAAAATGTTGAAAGGAAAAACCTATTCGGCAGGGAAGGGAATTAAAGACTTTTTGGAGTAAAGCCATAGTTGAGGAGATGAAATTGTCCAGGAGAATGACATGTCCTAAGATACTGTTGTCTGTCTCCATGGAGATAGCCAGGAAAGCTATGTAGAATAGAATTACAAGCACAGAGAAGTGGTGTGAATTGCAAATCATTATTTAGGAGATAGTTTATAGTAACCTAGGATGCAATAGAAGCTGTGAACATTGTGTGCTTGTTTCTAGAATTCTTTTTCTGTTAAAATACTATACAGAATGTTAACCATTTCTCAACCAATTATTCAGTATTAAAATGAACTTGATTAAACTGATTTACAAATACTTTATTAAGAAGAGACAATATATTACTATGTTCTCAATTTTGAGCCTGGACAGAAGAATGGTTTTGCCTTCTTATAGACATGTAGTGTTCTATGACTGTCTTCCTTCCCTCCCTCTATTTCATTATTTCTTCACCAATATAGGAACACTGACTTTAAAGGAGACTAAAGTAGACAGAACTGTATTGCACATGAGGGGAAATAAGTGTACACAAAGTAAAAGGTTCTTGGGGTGCACAGAAGAGGAGGTAGTAAAATGCTGGAAGGTAGCACGTGGTTTATGCCTAGAGTTGGAAGGTGATTAAGGACTGTTTTGCCAACAAAGATTATAATGGAGAGAAGTTTTCCAAAGGTGAGCCTTTTCCACTGGGAGTTTAATATGCTTCAATTGTAAAAGAAAAGCTTAATTCTTTACAACATCTTAGTTTAAATATTTAAAATTGCTCTCCAAGTTGACCAGTGCCATATTTGGAATCCCTAAACAGGTACCTATATACCTGATGTAGAGATTGTAAACCAGTGGGTGAAATTCAGATCTCTGATTTATGTTTTGATTTGATGATTTGTAATTTGTGGAGGCCTTTTGAATAATACTGGATAGTACAGTGGGCATTTTAGATGAGTGGCTACAAATGTTCTGCTGTCATCTTCCCACAAGAAACCTATCTTTGTTTTCTGCATTTAAGAAGAAAAGAAGGTTGCATCATCTCACAGCCATAATGGTGTCACCATAACCCTGTGGTGCCCATCATTGACTTGGTACCATTCTAAGTCCATAACACATCAGTAGTTCTCACCACAATGTTTTTTCTGGATTGAACCCAGGGCCTCACACATTCAAGGCAAGGGGCTGTACTGCTGAGCTGTGTGCAGCCCTGTTGTTACCGTTTTAACAGATGAGGAAGTATAGTGCTGAAATGTTTGGTAAATGTAAATAGCAGTGTAAACTCCTGATTATATTACAGATCTGTTTGGGAAATTGTGGTGCTCTCTCTCCATTTGGAAAGACTTCTAATACTTTATAGTTCCCTTTTCTAGGCAGCTGGTGTAAACTTCACTGGCTGAGATTGCCTTAAATGACCTCTACCTCCTTTTTGTTTAGAAATAATTTGAAGATGGGCTTCAAGTACAATGAAATAAGTTTATGGAAGGAGTCAGGAGTTCAATAGCCCATTCAGGGCATACAGGTTAATTGGTCAAAGGAATACAGACATTTCCTATTCCCCTTCATTTATGTTTTATTCCTTTAACCAATAATGCATTAAGGTCAAACATGCAGCTATATTTTTAGTTCATTTGTGTTCATTTTTCGTTCATGTTTGTGTGCGTGCAGGTGCACTGTATGTTTATTTTTCTTTTTCTTTTTTTTTTTTTTTTTTTCTGAGACAGGGTCTCCCTGTACTGTAGCCCCAGCTGACCTCGGACTCAACAGAGATCCACCTGCCTCAGCCTCCCAAGTGCTGGAATTAAAGGCATGTGCCACCACACCCGGCTCAAATTGTGGTTTTGTTTTTTTTTTTCAAACATGTATGTGTGATGTGTGTGGTTGGGTGAATACATACTTACATGTATGCAGGTGCACATGGCAGCAAGAGGTTAATGTCAGATGCTTTCCTCAGTCAACGTCCACTGTATTTACTGGGACAGGATCTCTAGCTGAACTCAGACCTTGGTAGTCTAGCTAGCCAGCTTGCCCTTAGGAGTCTTCTGTCACTGCCGCCTCAGTTCTGTGATTACTGCTAGGATACCACCCATGCTTTTCTGTGGGTGCCAGGAATCTGAACTCTGGTCCTCATGTTTGCATGGTGAGTGCTTTATCCACTGAACCATCTCTCCAGTTACACTGTTCTTTAAAAATGTTTCCTGAGCAGCGGGTATGGTGGTGCACACCTTTAGTCCCAGCACTCAGGAGGCAGAGGCAGGTGGATCCCTGCAAGTTCAAGGCCCACTTGATCTACATAGTGAGTTCCAGGCCAGCTGGGGCTACAGGGAGACCCTGTCTCAAAAAGACCAAAAAAAAAAAAAAGAAAGAAAAATTTTTCCTGATTAGTCATTTAAAGCCTATAATTTTTATATGAAGTGTATGAAGTGTGTATCCCCCTTCCCCCTCCTTTTTGAGCACGTCAGGGTGGCTTATCAGAGTGTCATAATGAAGTGGCTACCTTAAGTTCTTTTCTCTAAGGTGACATATTGGGGAAATTATCACTTGATTTTGTATTTGGTTAAAGTGAAGAAAAATCCCACATGAAAGATGATGTATATCTAGAGGCTTATGTGGAGATGGGGTTTTTTGGTTGGTTGGTTGGTTGGTTGGTTGGTTTGGTTTTTGTGGGAGGGTTTTGGTACTTTTGAGACAGGGTCTCCCTGCAGTTCGAGCTGGCCTGGAACTCACTATATAGACCAGACTGGCATCAAACTCAAAGAGATCCACCTGCCTCTGCCTCTGGAGTGCTGGGATTAGAGGTGTGTGCCACAATGCTCAGCTGAATTTTGTAGAGTTTATAAAGTATGTAAGAACAAAATAAGTAATATTTATAGAATACATTTTTGTGTGTTTAAAAGTAACATGTTTAAATGCAGTAATGGTAGAATAAAAGTGAATTGGGGAACACAGATGGGAAGGAGAGATTTCTACTAAAAGAAGCTGGATTTCAATAGCCAGGACCCAGCTCCATTTCCCAGCACCCATGTGGCTGCTAACAACCAACTATAACTCTAGTTCTAGGGGATTTGACACCCTCTTCTGGCCTCTGCAAGCATTGGACAACATGGGTATGCTTAGATACATGCAGGTAAAGCATTCATAAACATAAAAATAAAATAAGTGTTTTTTTGTGGTTGTTTTTTTGTTTTTTTTTTTTTAATGTATATTCAGGGTAGATGGGATGGGGTGTTGCAAGTGAGTGCAGTGCAGGGGAGATCAGAATAAGCTGTCAGGAAAGGGCTTGTTCTGGCCTCCATTGGTATAGGGGCCGAGATTTCAGCAGACCACCTGAGAGTGCCTGGCCTAGCCTCCCTCTGGCATAGGGGCTGAGAACTTAGCTGACCATTCGAGAGCACCTGGTCCAGCCTCTGCATCATGTAGATGAAATCCCACTGAAATGGGCCAGCAGTCCATGGAAAACTGACAATGCAGAGACACGAAAGTTTAGTGCCTTGCCACAATAGGAAGAAGATCATCCCACACCTACCACCCCCTCCAAGGCTCAGTGACTTTTGCAGAAGAGGCTGGTGGAAAGAATGTGAGAGCTGGAGGAAGGGGTGGAGTGTTAACTGGAAGTGTACTCTGACTGTGCTGGTAAGTTATAGTCACACATCCTTCCCATGCTCATCAAGGAGTTGAGAGGGGCATCAGTTACTCCTCTATATTTGAGTGTGGACTTTCCAGTGCAGCTGTAAATGGGGGGGGGGCACTCCTGTAAATCACCCCCCCTCCAGGACTCAAGACTGTAAGGCAGTGTGCATAGGATTCAGTAGGAGGAGGAGGAGAGGTATGGATGTGAGTGGAAAATACTGTATGAAATTTTAACAGCTCAATAAAAACAATGAAAAAGAAAATGATAGGTGTTTGGATAGAGAGGGATCTGACTAGACCACAAGTGGATGGGCTTGCACTAGGGAAGTGGCTAGGGACACTGACTTGACACAGTGGGCCTTAACATCCAGTACTACGGGGCTATAAAGATGATACAGATTGAGATATTCTGTATGAAATACAACAGAATTTGTATTTTTAATAAAAACAAATTTAAAAAGCACTATAAAATGATGAAAAAGAAGCTGTCAGATCTCCAGGAGCTGAGCTCCAAGTATTTGTGAGCCACCTAAAGCTGATGCTGGGAACCAAACTCAGGTCCTCTGCAAGACCAGTATGCACTAACAGTTGAGCTATCTCTCCAGCCCTACTTGTAAGGGTTTTATGTATGTGTGGTTTTGGTTTTGTTTTGAGGTCTCACTATGTATTCCTGTCTGGCCTTGAACTCACAGAGTCCTGCCTCTGCCTCCTGAGTACTGGGATTCAAAGCATGTGCCACCTTATCTGGCTGTAAGAGTTTTTGTAGTAGATGTAGAATGAAATAATTAGGTTGAAGGGAAGTGGAAAGAGAAGTGGAGGAAGTAAGATCTAGTTCTAGAGAAGCCGATGAAGGACTCAGTACTTTGATCTGTACTGAAATGGGACTCCAGATTGCTAGTATATCAGCATATAACATGAAAAAGTAACCTTAGCGTCAGTGCTGCAGACATGACAGTAGTATGCAGGAAGAACAAAGACATAGTTAACATGAATGGCAAATTGACCTTGTTCCAAGTCACTGTCACTTCTCCGTTTACTGCAGGAACTACCTACTTTGCCCTTCCTCAGTCTTACCTTCAACACCATAACTAGAGTGATGCTTTGAAGAAGTTAAACCACATCAAAACATCTAGTACCCTGATACCATGGCAGTCAGAATGGCCCAAACACCCTGAATAAGCTCCTTCCTCCTTTTTAGAGACAGGATCTTCTTAGTTGGCCCAGATTGGCCTTAAGCTTCACCATATAGCCCAGACTGACCTCAAACACTCTATTTTGCCAAGGCTTCCTACATGTTGACAGGTGTGAGCCACCATACCCAGCTTGACTTCTTGACTTTATTGTCTTCTACTCTTCCCCTCTGGCTCATTCCATTCCAAATAGTCCTCCTTATGGTCATCAAAAGTGTCAGCTTCTCACTAAGGCCTTTCGGCTGGCTGTTTCTCTGCTTCCTCACTTACTCTTAACTCTGTGCTCTGTTGTCTTCTCAGTGTGGCCTACCTCCGAAAATCCACAAAATTTTCAGTTTACTTTTCCACATTCCCTTAGCTTTTCTAAATCCAGTGTGTCATTTACTTGGTTTGTTTTCTGTTACTTGTCTTCCTGCTTGAATGAAGGCTGCAGGAAGGTAGGGTCTCCTGCCCTGACTATATTGTACACTGAATCCTGTGTTCCTGAAACAGTGCCTGTCATATAATAAACACTTACCAATATGGATTGAAATAAGTGTAGATTCGAAATCTTACAAAGATGGCAGTATAATTTAAGAGAAATTTGTGTGCTTAGTACTGTGGGTTTTGACATTACCTTGACATTTTTGCCATAAATGTCATAAAATCTCAAAACAGTGTAAAGTATAACTCTCAGAGCAATATAAAGATCCATCATCAGTTTCAGGCTATAGTTTGGACACCATTGATTATTTCAAGCTGTTAATCAAAAAGCTTGAATTTATCTGTGTGTTTTATATGATTTTATGCAAACATGTATATCTAGGTACATGCCCTTTTGTGTGTGCAGAGGCCAGAAGAGGGCCTCATATCCCTTGAAGCTGGAGTGAAGGCATTGCAGGATCCCTAGCTTGATATCCAGGGGCTGGAATCCAAACTCTGGTCCTCATTATTATGTAGTGCTCCACTGCTGAGCCATTTCTTCAGCACCCCAAAACTTGAATTTTCTGTCTAATAATTTTCTTTTCTTTTAATAGTTCACTTTATCCATGCCTTGGGGTAAACCTTATTTCATTTCTGCTTACAGAAACTTAGCTGTCCACCTTTCTTCTGGAGTTGGATTGTTCATTTAGTTAATAAGAACAAAGTGTCAAACCCCTTCCGTAGGAACTTTATTATATGAACTGTTTACCATCTTACAGATGATGATTGGCAGGAAGCACATGAGCGCCTGGCTGAGTTGGAAGAGAAGCTACCAGTGACAGTTAATGAACAAACAGGCAATGGAGAGAGGGATGAGAGGGACGAGATGGACCTGTTGGGTGACCATGAGGAGAATCTAGCAGAGAGGCTCAGTAAGATGGTGATTGAAAATGAACTGGAAGATCCAGCTATCATGAGGGCTGTGCAGACCAGGCCAGTTTTACAAGTAAGTTATTCTCATTTGGGAACTAATAATGGTTCAACTAATAATAGATAATAATTAAAGTACTGAGCTTTGCTATTTTGTCTGTTTAATAACAAAATTACATATAGAAAATTGATAATGGGCCAATTGGAGTGGCTTAACTATAAACCCAGGACTTGGGAGGCTGAAGCAGGTAGATCACTGTGAATTGGAGGTCAGCTTGACTAATACCAAGTTCTGGGATAGCCTGGGTGACAGAATGAGACTCTCATAAAAGAAAAAATACAGGTCGGGAGTGGTGGCACACGCCTTCAATCCTAGCACTTGGGAGGCAGAGGCAGGCGGATCTTTGTGAATTCGAGGCCAGCCTGGTCTACATAATGAGTTCCAGGACAGCTGGGGCTACAAGGAGACTCTGTCTCAAAAAAGAAAAAAAAGAAAACACATAATTCCTAGTGTTGATAATTCTGTAGATGAAGTTGGGGAGTGATGTGAATTCTGGAGCACTCTTAACTTCTTTCAAGTACTGAGGTTCTTTTGGAACTTCATTCCAAATGAGTCACCCCAAGAACCACACATTCCAGGTTTTGTATGTTTTCTTTTTTTTTGGCAGCCTCAACCAGGAAGTCTGAATTCCAGCATCTGGGATGGGTCTGAAGTTCTGAGGCGAATCCGTGGACCACTACTTGCTCAGGTAATAAACATTCTCTCTTTATGTTATGTTTATTACTCGTATTCAAAGATTTGAAGTTGGCCTGCTTGGCACATGGCTTTAATCCCAACACTCAGGAGGCAGAGGCATATGAATCTCTGTGAGTTCAAGGCCAGCCTGGTCTACATAGTTTGAGGCCAACCAGGGCTACATAGTGAGACATGCATGCTCCCCCACCTCCTTTGCTCTCCACCCCTCCTCCCCCAAACCCCCCATCTAAAAAACAAAAAATATAGAAGCATGTATCATTTACCAGAAATTATATTTACTACCCTATCAGGCACTTAATAACTGTACCTATTAATATTCCTTTCCTTAGCCTTTCAAGTTAAAGGCTGAAAGGGATTTGTTAGAACTGACATGTTGGGTGTGATCTCAGTTCCTTAATAGGTCTAGGCAAGGAGCTGGAGAGATGGTTCAGTGCACTGGCTGCTCTTGCAGAGAACCCAGGTTCAATTCCCAGCACTCAGCATGGCAGCTAACAACTGTCTGTAACTCTAGTTCCAGGGGATCAAAAGCCACCTTCTGACCTCCAAGGGCATTGCGCAACGTGGGCACACTTAACTTACATGCAGGCAGTACATTCAGGCACATAAAGTAAAAATAATAATTATTTTTTAAAGTCTAGGCAAAGCTACAGGAGCAAAGAAAAGGTCACTGTTTGACAGTTGTGGTACATAGGGCAAAGAGTGACTAAAAGGACAATAAAAAAGAATTTTGTGGGGGTGAAAATAATTCTCGTTATCTTTGGCATCCACAGAGATAAAACATTGCAAGCTAGCTAATCTCTGTGTGCTTTTTTAACCACTTCTCAATAGGAAATGCCTACAGTATCTGTATTAGAATATGCCTTGCCTCAGAGGCCCCCACAGGGCCCAGAAGATGATCGTGACCTTTCTGAGCGAGCATTACCAAGGAGGTCGACTTCACCTATCATCGGAAGTCCTCCTGTTAGAGCTGTTCCCATAGGCACCCCACCCAAGCAGATGGCTGTTCCCAGCTTCAACCAACAACAGGTACTTCTCATGAACAGGCACTCAGCCCAGGATATTGGGAATCTGGGCAAAATTATTCGGGAAATTGGTGATACTGGGAGGAGGGTGGACGTTTTGGGTAGGCTTTAGAAGAAAAACCAATTAGAGAAAAAGCTAGTACAAAAGAGAGACACATTCCCTAGTACCCTTTGCTGCTGCTGTTGCTGCTGCCTTTTAAGTGGGGGAGAAAAAGAGTAGTTAGCCACATTCAGTGCATATTTCCTTTTTAAATGTTTTGCTGGCTGCCTAGTACATTGGCAAAGAAAAAACTGAAAGCTGGGGGGAGTGGGAACACTCAGCATTGTCCACATCCCTTTTTACCTTTAAGATATCCCTGCTTTCCCTAGAGCCTGTGCAGTCCTGTTCCATAGACTTTCCTCCACCTGAAACCAGCAGCTGAAAAGGAAGGCCAATGTGGAAGGTATGGGGGGAGGGTGGTGTTGGTATGGCCTAGTTAGACTCAATAGCCTATGAAACGGTGGAGTCACAATGTATGACAGCATTGCTGAGCATGGCGGCCATATCACAGAGGCTTCAGAATAGGACTTAGTTAATCCTCCAGCTTTCTTATCATTCCTTCTCCCTCACTACAATCAAAATAGATCCTCTTGGAAAAAAAAATTGCAAATCACAGTGTCTGCTGGTACCTCCCTCAGATAGCTTGGAAGGGTGGGGATACTGAGAATTAGCTAAACATTCCTCAGTTAAAACTGATTTGTGAGAGGAAGTGACCAGAGGTTCTGTGTTTGAACCCTTAGCTAGAGCAATCTGCTTAGAAATAGGGCTTTGCATTGAGTTCTGTGTCTCTGCCAGTACTTGAGGGGAGGGAATGTAGGTGGGCAAAATACTGTTTTCATTGAGCATAGTTGTCCATATGTTTGTCCTGATAGATTCTGTGTCCAAAGCCTGTCCATGTTCGGCCGCCAATGCCACCACGTTATCCTGCTCCCTATGGTGACAGGATGTCGCCAAACCAGCTCTGCAGTGTCCCGGTATGTCGCTTTTGCAACTTAACAGAAATGTGTAATGCATGTTTTATAATCATTATCAATACATAGATGTGCCGACATCTCCTAGATTAAACACACTTTTTTAATCTCCATCCTTAGATTTCTGGGGTTTGTGCTCCCTGGGTCAGAGGATCGCTTTGTTTCTTTATACTTCTTTTTTCTTTGTCTTTTTGAGACAGAGTCTTCCTGTAGCCCCTCCTGGCCTGGAACTCACTTTGTAAACCAGGCTGGCCTTGAGCTCACAGAGATCCGCCTGCCTCTGCCTCCCAAGTGCTGGGACTAAAGGAATATGCTACCACACCTGGCATAACTAGTTTTGTTTGTTTGTTTGGTCTTTTTGAAGCAGGGTCTCCCTGTGGCCCCAGCTGTCCTAGAACTCACTATGTAGACCAGGCTGGCCTTGAACTCACAGAGATCCACCTTATTTAAAAATTTTATTTACTCCCATCACTTGGGAAGCAGAGGCAGGCAGATCTCTGAGTTAAAGGCCAGCCTGGCCTATATAGTGAGTTCCAGGCCAGCTGGGGCTACAGGGAGACCCTGTCTCAAAAAGAAACCCCCCCCAAAAAAATATTTTATTTTAAGTATATGAATGTATTGCCCGTGTGTGTGCACCCATGTCATGCAGTGCCCGAGGAGGTCAGAAGGAGGCATTGTATCCCCCAGAACTGGCGCTGTGGACAGTCGTTAACTACCGTGTGGGTGCTGGCAATCAAACCCAGGTCCTCTACAAGAGCAGCCAGTGGTTGTAACTGCTGAGCCGTCTCTCCAGCCCCTACGTATAACTTTATACTGCAGCTCTACTAAGTACTACTTATTATATTGATTTTCTTGATTCATAATAAGAGTATGATTTTTCCCCCTTTTTTATTTCCTTAGAACTCTTCCCTCCTGGGTCACCCTTTTCCTCCTGGTGTTCCCCCTGTACTTAGCCCCCTCCAGAGAGCACAGCTTCTTGGAGGAGCACAGGTAAGCTATAGTTAGCCATACATAAAGCTAGCCCTACTGTCCCACATTCGGTTCATAATGGCATCTTTCTTTTGTTTGGCAGTTACTGCTACCTGTTGTTTTTCCTCTTTCAAATGATATTATTAGTGAAAACATTATTTTCCTCCCTGTGGCGCATGCCTGTAATCCTAACACTTGGGAGGCTGAGTTAGGAGGATCTTGGGTTTGAGGCCATCCTGGGCTACAGAGCAAGTTCCAAAACAGCCTGAAGTACATAGTGAGACCTTATATCAAAAAAGAGAAGGGGGGAAAACCTATAGGACTTGCTGATTTTCTAAATCAAAGATCTTTTCCCTCTTTGCAGCTACAGCCTGGACGGATGTCTCCCAGCCAGTTTGCACGGGTCCCTGGGTTTGTTGGTAGCCCACTGGCTGCCATGAATCCCAAGTTGCTGCAAGGGCGAGTCGGGCAGATGCTTCCCCCAGCTCCAGGCTTTCGTGCCTTCTTTAGTGCTCCACCCCCCGCTACACCACCTCCACAGCAGCACCCTCCTGGTTCAGGACCTCACCTGCAAAACCTAAGGTACACAAAGCATAGCACTGTGTGTCCATTGTCAGTATTCATCTCATAACTGGTGACATCTAGTTTTATAACATAAAGTCTCCTGATGCTTGGTAATTCCAGTATTTTGAGATGTTAACTACATTCTTAAGTTGGCACAGAATTGTTTGAGGGATTTACGTTGCCCTCAAAAGTGTCAGGCTTCATTTATACTTTACAAATTAATCCCCTCTTTCCCCCCCCCTTCTATTTGTTCTAAAACTGTTTGCATTTCATTTCATACCCACCTTACAAATACTCATGCACTAAGATCCACACTGCTGATCGATCACTTAAGGATTTGACTATAAAGGCGAGGCATGGTGGCACACTGTTTTGGGGGATCTTTCTAGCCCCAGCTGGCCTGGAACTCAGTTTGTAGCCCAGTTTGCCTCTGCCTCCCAAGTGCTGGGATTAAAGGTATGTGCCACCACGCTCTACATGGAGGCACACTTCTTTAGTCCTGGAACTCCACACTGGATCTCTGTGAGTTAGCTCAAGGCCAGCCTGGTGTACATAGTGAGTTCCAGGCCAGCCAGGGCTACATAGTAAGACCCTGCCTAAGAATGAAAGAAGAGTTGCTATAAATAACTGGTAGGGACAGATACTAAAAAGTTAGCCAGTGTCAGAACTGGAGAGAGAATTCAGGAGTTAAGAGTACTGGCTGCTCTTACAGAGGACCTGGGTTTGGTTCCCAACACCCACATGGCAGCTAACAACTGTAACTCCAGCTCCAGGATATCAGACACCCTCTTCTGACTTCTACAGGCATTGTACAACACAGGTGCACTTGCATACTTAAAAAAGAAATCTAAGGAACTGACTGGTGGTAATGTAGACTGCCAAATTGGAAATCTGTTTAGCAGACCAGGAACCAAGGTAAAGCATTCAAGTTTCAGCTTTTCAGCTTTGATTTTTAAATATATCAGCTGACAGGCTAGACACCCATCAAGACCTCTATTTCCATTCTTGGCACACATTTCCTCTGTGAAAGACCTCTGTAGATACCCATCAGGACCTCTATTTCCATTCCTGGCACACATTTCCTCTCTGAAAGACCTCTGGGTTTTACTTGTACATCCACCCACATTATGGAGGATAATCTCTTAAAGTCAACTGATTGTAAATGTTAATCACATCTATAAAATGGGTTCACAGCAACATTTAACCAGGGTTTGGCTAAAACTGAGTATCATAGCCTAGTCAAGTTGACATATAAAATTAACCAGTACATACAGACTTTCTGTATCACTCCCACAAAAAAGTTTAACGCTACGTACATTAAACCTGTTGAGAAACTTCTGGTAAACAGGAATAAAAAGAAAAAGTATTACATTGTTTTACTCCTAGTGCACTGAAATTTCATAGTCATCCTCTTTGGAGTTGAGAATTGGTCTTTGTGGAAGACATGTAAAAATATGACTTTAACTTCCTGAAGTCTGTTTAGAATGTGTTCTTAACAGTGCCTGAGTGAACTTGTGTGAAGTTCTGTATTGACAACATTTTTTAAATGAAGTCATCAAAATTGAAGTCACTGAAGACTGTTTTCCTTTTTTCCTTAGATCTCAGGCCCCACTGTTTAGACCAGACACAACTCACCTTCACCCACAGCACCGGCGACTATTACATCAGAGGCAGCAGCAGAATAGAAAGTAAGTACTCATCCCTCTCTTGACTGTAAGAGGAAGCTGTTAGCTTAGTTTACCTTTTTAATGAATTTACTTACTGTGGAGCTTATTTTGTTGAACAGATGTCATTTTATGTCGTTTTGTTTTATCACATTTATTTCCTGCTTGTGTATGTATGCATCAGGCTTAACAGCAACTGCCCTTAACCCACTGATCTATCTCAGTGGCCCATCATTCATTTTGTGCGGTTTTGGTTTTGGGGTGTGTGGTTTTTTGTTTTTTGTTTTTTTTAATTATTTTTAAATTTTATTTACTTTTATATGTATGCGTGTATTGCCTGCATGTAGGTAAGTGCACCCGTGTCATGCAATGCCCACGGAGGTCAGAAGAGGCTGTTGGATCCCCTGGGACTGGAGTTACAGACATTAGCTGCCATGTCAGTGCTGGGATTCAAACCCAAGTCTTCTGCAAAAACAGTGCTCTTAACTGCTGAGCCATCTCTCCAGCCCCTGTTTATTTTTATTTTTGTGTATGAGAGTATTGCCTGTATGTGTATAAGTGCACCCATGTTGTGCAGTGCCTGCAGACGTCAGAAGAGGGTATCAAATCCCCTGGAACTGGAGTTGTGGACCTTTGTTAGGGCCATGAGGATGCTGGGAATCAAATCCCAGTCCCCTGCAAGAACAGCCAGTGCTCTTAACTGCTGAGCCATCTCTCCAGCCCCTTGTGTGGTTTTTTTTGTATGGTTTTTGTTGGTGGTAGTGGTTGTTTTTGTTTTGCTTTGTTTTTTGTTTTTGAGACAGGGTCTCCCTATAGCCACAGCTGGCCTGGAACTCACAATGTAGACCAGGCTTCCATCCTCAGAGATCCGCCTGCCTCTGCCTCCCAGTGCTGGGATTAAAGGTGTGCACCACCGCATCCGCTCATTTTATGTTT